ATACATATATATATATATATGTATGTATGTCTTTTAAGCTTTGAATTGAATGACAGCTTGTCATATCTGTTCATATAATATGTTTATGTTTACTTATTATACATTATTTTGTATACTTTCAGCCATTCTTTCATTCTGTTTTGAGAAGTCAACAGTTGTTTTCATCACATTTTTCTCATCACAGTCTCACTGGACAAAATTTTTTTATATTTAAAGATATATTAAGATATGTTATRTCTTTAATTTCCTCCAAATATATCATGGTAATCTATTATCACTGGTAGTTTGGTAGATTTACTTGTATTCCTGCTAAAAGTCACGTTTTAAACTTGAGGAGGTTGAAGTCATCGTGTCTTTCTCTGGGTTTAATACAGGTGAGATCTCCATGGAGAAGGTGAAGGTGAAGAGGTATGTCTCAGGTAAGCGCCCAGACTACGCTCCCATGGAGTCGTCCGATGAAGAAGAGGAGGAGTTCAAGTTTGCAAAGAAGGGAATGGAAATGGAGCTGCCGGAGGTGGTGGAGCAGCAGCAGGAGGAGGAGGAGGAAGGGGACGTCTCAGACCCACGTCTCAAACGTTTACTCAATCGGGCTACTGACGATGTGGAGGAGAGGTACGGCTCGGTTCTTTAACTAACTTGTGTTATCCCAGCTGTGTTTGTACTGAGTATTTGTTTTTGTTACTCAGGCTCGCGAGGCACAGACAGATTGTGGAGCCTGAAGTTGTTGCTGAGAGCAGCGAGGACTCTGATGAAGGCACGTGGCACCCTAAGCACGAGGAGAGCAGTGAGGATGAAGAAGAGGAGGAGGAGGARGAAGAAGTGGATGATGAGGTTGGAATAATACCAACAACAATTTAAAAAACAACAACAATAAAAACAAACTTAATTTCATCACATTTTTAAATTAGTTTCTGATCAGCGTATCGTGACTCTGCAGGAAATTGAACGGAGACGAGCGATGATGCGTCAGCGAGCGTTGGAGAGGAAGAATGAAGAGATGGAGGTCATGGAGGTGGAAGAGGAGGGGAAGTCGGGGGAGGAGTCCGAGTCGGAGTCAGAGTACGAAGAATACACAGACAGTGAGGACGAAGCGGAGCCGCGTCTCAAACCTGTCTTCATTCGCAAGTAGGAGCTAAACGAATGAAAGTTTTGAAGCTCATTTCATAACTTCTGCAGTTCCTCTTTTTCTTAGCTTATAGCTGCATGTTGCCAACAATAACTGCCAATCTGCTAATAATGTTATCCTCATCAGATGAGTAAAAATATTGGTAAGTGGGGATTTAACTGTGGTMGCTTGAGCAATAACAGGTCTTTGATGCCCTTAGTTGTACTGAGCTGCTCGTGATTCTACAGATTAATAACAAATTTTGTTGTTTTTTCCTCCAACTCCTGCAATTGGTGTATAAATACACACGAGCCACAGACTCAGAAAAAACGAGAGGCTACAGCCCTGAATACCCAGATCTACAAATCACTTAAATGATAATATGTATTAAAAACCTGTCCAGATCAGTGAATTACCTCATAAATGTAGAGGTGACTGGTAAGAACAGCAGTTCCTGTGAAAGAAAACCTACAAACTGAACTGGCCAATATCAAGTTAAGTCCCAATATCCACTTTTTAAGGGTTGTTCATAGTGGGGAAAAAATCAGTTTAAATACATTTTTATTCACTTAGATGAGCAGTGCAGGTTGTGATAATTCTTGGGTAACAAAATATAACTGTTAGATCACCAGATCCATGACATTAATCCTTGTCTTTGCGTTGCAGAAAGGACCGGGTCACCGTGGCGGAGCGTGAGGCTGAGGAGCTGAAGCAGAGAGAGCTGGAAGCAGAGGCCAAGAAGCAGGCGGAGGAGCGGCGCCGCTACACCCTCAAGATCGTAGAGGAGGAAGCCAAGAAGGAGTTTGAAGAGAACCGGCGCACGCTGGCTGCCCTGGAAGCCCTGGACACGGACGGAGAGAACGAGGAGGAAGAATACGAAGCCTGGAAGGTCAGAGAGCTGAAGCGCATCAAGAGGGACCGAGAGGCCCGAGAAGCGTGAGTAAACGAACAAATCACGATGAATCCACTGGGACAGAATGATGATGATGATGATGATGACTTGTGTTGTGTGTCCTCAGCATGGAGAGGGAGAAGAGTGAAATAGAAAGATTCCACAGCTTGACGGAAGAGGAGCGCCGGGCAGAGCTCCGCAACACTGGCAAAGTCATCACCAACAAAGCCTCTAAAGGCAAATACAAGTTCCTGCAGAAGTACTACCACAGAGGAGCCTTCTTCTTGGTGAGGCACTACAGACATGTTTGTGTGGTCTGTTTTGCGTGGTTAGGGGAGTCGTCCTCCAATGAGATGTGTGAATGTCCTCAGTGGCCATTAAAACATCTTTACTCAGACCACATGTGGAAGTGATGTGGTCCCCTTTATTCTCATCTGCTAAAYAGCCTTCCATAAGAATCAGTAACCAGCTTAATAACCAATAACCAGCTTAATAACCAGTATAATTCAGCTAAATGTCTGAATGAATTGCTTATCAGAACCCCTTTTTATTAAAAAAAATCTAAGTTGTGTTAATCAGAGGGGATTACAAAAACACTGCATGAGGAGTTTCTTGTTTGATAAGTTTATTGTTTTCCTGTCAAAGAGCAAAGAGGGGAAATACCCTTGGTTTGTCCTTCCTTGTTGTGTATGGAGGACTGAAACTGACATAATTAAAAATAAAAGCAAAAATCTATAAATGGCCCAATAATTAATAAACGCACTAAAATGCAAATTAATTTACAAAGGAGAATTTAATTGGCCATCATATTTTTCCAGCTTAGTTAAATTTTAAAACAAAYTTTTATTTTATCACATAATTTATATTTTACTGTTTTTAAACATTTTTTTATTGATGCATCTGTCTGTCTCCTGTTTTTTAACTTTACGTCATGTATTTCTGCTCCATTACGCAAATAAGGTGGGCGGTCCTTATTGCTCCTCTCCTATTGGTCACCAGACAGGAAGGAGCAGGATCCATGTGCAGATCTATTGTGCATGCCTGTGCTGCCTGAGTGTAGTAATCAAAGTGTAGTAATGGCGGGAGCTGCTTTAAGGGAAGCTGTAAATAGGCTTCAGTCTTAAATAACATGCGTCCTCCTGAAACAGCCAACAGCACAAATTATAAAACGAGGTATCATTTTCCCTTTTTTTTAATTAATTGGTTCATTTCAAATGTATTTATTTATTTACTGGGCCATTCATATATTTCTGCTTTTACTTTGAATTATGTCATTTTTGTTCCTCCGTAATTTTGAGCACGTTAACTCGAAAAATAAGTGAGGTGTCGACTTCCCTGTTGTTGTGTGGCTGCATCTGGGCGTTGGGTTGCCATGTAAAAATATGTAAGATGCCCAGCGTATTTGTGTGTATGTGTGCATATAATAAGCTTTTAAGCTATTGCTTAAAAGTGCCGTTTCTGTAAATGATTGAGGTGGCCATTGCGCCTGGTGGTGAACGTTGGAAAATGTGTTTTTAAAGTTTTACAAAGCTCCAGTTGGCAACAACTTAACGGCAGAAAACTTTGATCTATAAAAGGAAAACGATTTCTATAATTTTATGAACAGTGGTATTTTATTGCACCTTTGTTCACGTGTGGGTAAACATCTGTTCAAAGGTGACTTCAAATACCAGCACAGATGTTTTTATTTTCCCCYGTTTTCATATTTTATCTACCAGGTGGTACTAACTAGTTTATACCAGTGTAAAACTTGTTTTAACAATGTGTGGTTTGTGTTACAGGATGAGGAGGATGATGTTTATAAGAGAGATTTCAGCGCTCCAACACTGGAGGATCACTTCAACAAAACCATCTTACCCAAAGTCATGCAGGTGAGCAGTTTTTACTTAGACTTCACCTTTGGTGCACTTTGCACCTTTTTAGGAACATCTAACCAGAATGTATTTGTATAAGTAAACAAGTGAAAATAAAAGCTTTTCTGTTTAGGGACTGATATTCTTCAAAGGGAAACACCTTTCTGTCTGTAAAATTCCCATTTTTCTGACTTTAATCTTTCCTTTTGCTTCAAGGTCAAAAACTTTGGGCGGTCAGGACGCACCAAGTACACCCACCTGGTGGACCAGGACACCACATCGTTTGACTCAGCCTGGGCTCAGGAGACGGCTCAGAACAGCAAGTTCTTCAAGCAGAAGGCAGCGGGCGTGAGGGATGTGTTTGACCGGCCCACCGTGAAGAAGAGGAAAGCTTAAGATTCATCCACGTTTCCATTAGACTGAGCTGCTTTCTGCTGTGAGCAGGACAGTTAATTCTGGTTTCCTGGACTCTGTTGTGGAAGAAAAGGAACACAAGCTGGTTCTAGTTTGATGCACAGGAGGACCAGAAACTAAGGTCGCAGCTGAACGAGGGACTGGCTGAAAATATGCGTCAATCTGAAAAAARATTCCCTAAACTCCCTCAGATTCTTCAGTCACTTCTGGTTTATTGTTGTAAATATTACCTTTTATTRTTTAGTTTGGGTTTTTCCCACTGATGGTCTGTAAAACCAGTTTTTCCTGTCAGTTTTGTTTTACTACAGTAATCTCAATTAAAGTCATTCATTTTCACACAGAAGCACAAGTGAAGAACTTTTATTTAAAACTACAAAAAAAAAGAAACAGTTTTAAGATCTCAGTCTGGATGGTCCAGTCAAACAGTACGTTTGTTCAGTTGGTCAGAGCTACCAGAGCCTCCACCACGTTCCCCATGTGTTCCCTCAGGCTGCGCTCCGCCACAGACCTCGAGATCTCCATCTCTGACATCTGCAGAACAACAAAATAAACGGAATCACATCGTCACGGTTCCTACAGCATCTTCAAAAATAGGAAGTGTCTGAGGTGTGTAATGTCTGCTTAATTATGGGAAACACACTCTTACAGTAGAGCTGCTGAGTTTTAAACGTCATAATATAAGTATAAAAGGACTGCAAGTAAATTCTGCTGATGTGATGCTAATGAATTTGATCAAATGATCAGACTCACTGGCCTTGATGCCCACACCTGGGTTAGCTGATAAGACGACTGTAGGTTTATCACAGCTGATTTAAATCACAGTATTTAACAACGCAGCACAAGTTTCCAAACCACTTCTATTGCACTTTTATTTTTTTAAAAACATCTAGATCAGAGGAGCCCAAAGTGGGGCCCGCGGGCCAAATTTGGCCCACCAAGCCGTTTGATTTGGCCCACCAACAGTTGCCAAAGTTACAAGGTTGTAACCTGTTATCGTAGAAACACAGTGTTTCCATTGGTCAAATGACTATATAAAGGGCTGTAGTGAAGGTAGTTTTCAGTCATGTTGCTGACTTTATCTTTGATATATTAGGATTAAACATAAAACATGAAATGACAACAAGAAATATTTAGATCAGATTTAACCTCACATGTAGATTTGCACACTTTATAAGGCCACAAAAACTCGTATTATCAATTTATGAAATGTCCCATGAGCCTTTGCTACTTGAGCGTATGGCAGACTTTAACCAAGTGCACATACTAAAACAAAAGAGGGCCATTGCATAGCTTAATTGTTAAAAATAAAGGATTTTACTTTAAAAAGTATTTGTATTTCATGTATTAAATTACTGCATTTGGCCCGCAGCCATGGACAGATTTTCATTTTGGCCCTCTCGGGGAAAATGTTTGGGCACCCCTGATCTAGATTAAATGTTMGATAATTTTTGTGGTTGGGATTTAAGAAAGGATCCTAATTATTTCACTTGTTCCATGTTTCCCCACTTGTTTTGCACACACCYGATTCAGTGGTTGAATAATCTCAAGTTCTGCAGAAACCTGCTAATCACCTGTTCATTCAAACCAGCTGTGTTGGAGCAGAGAAACCAATAAAACATGCAGGATTAGAGGACCAGGACCTGAATATCACAGTATTAGACGTTATCTGACTTTATCCTACATGTTAACTTCTTTTAAAAAAATCAATGTTTAATACATAAGTTAGTTGAATGTGCAGTACCTTTGCTTTCATTAACTAAACATTTTTGTGTATTCAAAATTTTTGTAAAGTGTGTATGGTTAATTTCCTTTAATCAAACAAAGAACCTAATAAAATGTTAAATCAACAATGTTATTCATAGAGGAAATAAACTGCATTTCTCCTAAGGAACATATTGGCATTGGGACAAGGAGATTACTGTACAAATGATTTATTAGTCAAAAACTGTTAATAAAGAAAAAGACAAAAATGAGTGGAAAAGTCTGTAATTTCAAAATGCAAAATGTGTAGGTATCGTACAACTTACATCAGAAGCCTAGCAAATTATATTATTTATCACAGGAACAGAATCATAAAAATCMCTGAAAAACTTACAATTAGTTCGACATCTTCTTTCTTGATGGTGACTTTCGCCAGTTCTTTTTCTCTGAAACCACACAAAACAAACGTATGTCCTTTGGCAACACAACTAAAGTTTGGAACACATTTATCAAAGCTGCTGATAAGACAGATTGTGGAGGAGAATAGTTTTAAATGAGCTTTAGCAGTGAGCTGAGCTTACCTTTCTTGTTTAGCTTTCTGTTCTCGTGATCTTCTGTCTCCAATCACTGACATGGCCTGAAAGGAAAAAGAGTTGTTAATAATAATAATAATAATAATAATAATAAAATAATAATAATAATAATAATAATAAAATGTTGGTAAGCATAATCTATGGAACGCTGAATTGTTTAATGTAATAAATTAACCATTAAATAATTCAGTTTATATGAATAAATACATAAATGACAATAAGATTGTGCAATAACTGAATGCAGATACATTTCTGAACTCATTAAAACATATTCACTGTCATTTAAAAATGTGCTTAACATAAAACATTTCAATGTGATTTTTTCCTCAATAATTACATTTATTTTTGAGGCATTTTTATTTAACTCAAGCCGTTTTTATTCTAAATGGGTTTTTCACAGTCATGAAATCAAAGAGGATTGTGTGTGTTTTTCCTAAAAGCTTATTTATTTCATGATACTTTTCAGCATAATGACTGTAAATTTTAATACAAAAATCTGTCAGCTAGTTGTTGTTTCATACAATAAGTGTGTGTGTGTGTGGGGGGGGGGGCACTAAATCTAGGAAAATACTACTTTGAAAATTAGCATTTAAATTTGTCATTATTTAGTAAAATCAAACTAAAACGGAAAAGCTGAGAGAAAACCCAAGTCCACCTAATAATAACTCAATAACTTGTAAATAAAGAGCCACACAGACTTTATTAGGCCTACTGAAAGCTTGTTTTAGACTTTTGTTTGAGCTACAGATTCATCAAAACAGGTCTTTAAATCTGCAATTAAGTGCGTAGACTAGTTTAATTAAACAGGCAGAGAGAGTCACCTTCAAAACGTCTTATAATGAAACTCAGTAACACTAAAAAGTCAAACTAAGCAGATAAATATAAAACAAATCCAAAATGATTCTGGTTTATAGGAGCCAGTGAAGTCAGCAGCAGCAGCAGCAGCAGCGCCGCATGTTTCCGGGGCTGTCGTTAGCCCGGAGAKAATCTCACCGTTTCTAAATCCGAACTAGAAATTTCCTTCTCCTCCGCGTAGTCCGTGACTCTCTCCAAATCAGCGGCTCCGCTGTCATGTTTCCGAGGCTTTTCCACAGGTTTTCCAGTGCAGTTTTCCTCGGCTTCCAGGTCCAAATCGACGTCTCCCTCCGCTGCCATGTTTGCTTCAGTTAGCCCGGAACAAAGAGAAAGGTTCCACATGTCGGAAAGAATACATAGTAACACCGGAAGTTTTTTCTTTTCTTTTCTTTTCTTTTCTTTTCTTTTCTTTTCTTTTCTTTTCTTTTCTTTTCT